TGGGCTTGCCCGGGCTGGTGGGACCCACGCCAAACCGGGCTGCAGGCTGCAGCGCTGGAGCTGCCTTGGGCTGTTGAGGGGGGCCTTTTGCCCGGGTTTGGACCTGCGGTGGAGTTGCTCTAAATAGAAAGGCAAAAGGAATAAGAAGGGGGACTTTTGGGAAAGAGAGAAAGAGAGACGTTTTTAACCTGTAATGCTCATCCTTTGATTAATAACACAGCCTTCCACTATTCTTTTACTTGGGCCAGTAATTGTCATTGGGTCAAACAGTTTCCATTTTAGAATTTGCATTGAATGTGAAGTCGATTAGAGATCTTAATTCATGCTTTTTCCTAGCAGGATAAAAGCACGAAGTTTCAAAGTTCTATAGTTTATGCACTAGTGTTGTGGAAAGTTCCGCAAGAGAATTTCAATCATACAACTACTTTAACGATTAGTTATAGCTCAAAGTCAGCTTAATAGGCCCTACTTGCTCATAGAGGTTGATTGAATATGGGAGACCTAATAATGGAGTCAAAATATGGCATTTGTACAATCCAATTAGCACGTAGGGCTCATTAACTTAAAAAAAAAAGTGCAACTATAACAATTCGCAAGAAAAAACTCTTTAAATTTACTCAAAATTACATTTTGAATGAAAATAAATTAAAAACAAACCATGAATACTAAGTAATCATACAATTAGTACGTGACAAGATGTTGTAAGAATGAGATTAGTACGTGAGAATATGGTGGTGCCCACACTTTACTTGGCCTGTATTGTATCGTTGGAAACAACTTGCAGGGTCTAAGCCCCCTCCTGCACGGACTGGAGGGTGCGCTGAAAATGCTCTAACATATTGTCAGTAGGTGTGAGAAAAGCCCTATTCTTTTCCTAAGTTTGAAAAAAAAAAGCCTCTTAAATCATGAAAGTTTAAGCAGTGCCCCCACTTGGCCAATATTTTCAACGGCGAACCGTAAGCGTTCCTTTTGAATTGACCCAATAGTTAGTGCCAAAAACTACATATAGATTATATATATATCTACACCACCATGCACGCTTGTGATCAGAGGCTCACATCTTTGCCGCTAAAAGCATAGGCTCATATGAGCCACGTTGCCACGTGTATCCCACCCTCCTTTTCGGGTCGCAAGTATGAAATATCGGGTCCCTACCTACTTAAGTGGCAAAAAGGGCCACACAAAAAAAACACAGAGAAAAAAAGAAAAAGAAAAGACAAAGGTGGCAAAAATAAAATAGCATTTTGATAAGTTCCTCTTACAGATTCGAATTCTCTCACGAAAGAAGAATAGTCTCGGATGCTTTTGTTTTTAGTTGATAAAAAAAAGTTTGGGAAAGATTGGCTATTCTCACTACAAATGTCATTGTAAACCCACAATCCCGTAATATAATAGTTTGGGGGAGATTGTGACTTGCGAAAGTATGTGGAATTGGGCTGTATGATATAATTTGTCGCTAATCAAAATCCTCCCAACTTCACGTCAATAAAGTAGTTTTTTAGGCGCTTGCGAATAGAGCAGATTTTGTTGGGAGAGGTCCTCGTTTTGCGCCCGACAGTACCTCGAGGGTTAGTCTCCGCAATCGCGCGGGGATACCTTGGTTTTCACCCAAAAAAAAGTAGTTTTTTAGGAAATTAACATAAAAATCGAATCTGGGCACATGTTCAAGAACCTTCCTACACTAATTAAAATATATAATGAGCAACTTTTCTTTTTTGTTGCTTAATTAATTGCCGTATTTTATGCTATTAGATAATCAATATGAATGGTTGATTAGCTAAATTGATGTAATGCGTATTCGTTTGTCTAATTTAACAATAAAATAGTCTAGACAGTATCATCCGTTACAAAATTTCGCATAATTCCGCTGAAATTAAACAAATTATGCAATTATGCCTTTCTCAGCCATCACATCATCAAATTTTTTATGGGAACCCACATCATCAAAATTATATCTCTAGAAATAGAGTAGAAATATATAAGTATTTAATGTAAAAAAAAGCTTATTGGATAGCAGATAGAAACATACATGAATGCATTTTTCTTTTCTAACATTGGTAGAGTGAGGTAAATGTGGGTTAGGCTAGAGAGTTTGTCCTCTTTGTATCTAAGTTCGAATTCCCCTTCCCTTGTATTAAAATAAATAAATGAAAGAGTTAGATTCGAATTTGAAATCACTAGTCTACAAGTTATGGTCCTTTTGCACTTGACCGTGTGTTTGTAGTAGTTGATTTTCTTATAAAAAAATATAAATATTTAAAAATAAATATTCTGTCAATATTTAGAAAATAAATTATTTATGAGCAAAGTTAAGACAGTCGCCTACACAGGATTGAGAGTTGTTCTGACGTTGATGATTCGCTGAATCATCTGCATCAGCGATTGGGGAGTCTGAAACTTACACGTGGACTACTGTCCGTAGCATTATTTTGTTGATGGATGGTGACGTGGAAATACTTGATTGGATAGTAGCACAATGAAATGCTCTTGTATCACCCACCCCATAGAACCCTCTCCTATTCCTACTCTCCAGCTCTCCAGCTCTCCAGCCCAGCCAGTCAGACTTATTACTACATCTAGAAGCGGCACGCAGCCCTAGGTTTCATTTGCTCTCCACACGCCTCCTCCTCCTCCTCTTCCTCACCCTCGCAGAAACAGTCTTACGACTGTTCCTTCATCCTCCATATCTCCTTTGTTTTTTTCTCATCATTATCATCACTCTGTCTCTCTCTCTCTTGATCAAATCCTTATCCCATTTTCTGCTCTCTGCTTTTTTGTCTATGAATGCGTGATCGTCGCCATGTATATAAACACAGCCTCTTCATCTGCCTCCTCGCTTCTCAGAGCTTCTAGGGCTCGCCTTTTCTCCTCTTCTTCTTCCTCGTCTCCTATCTCTAGAACCTTCGCTGGTTCGCCGCTCAGGCCTTCTCACCATCACTTCGCCTCTCAACGCTTCCTCAGCTCCTCCTCTGCGGTTCGCTCTTTCTCTCGCTGGAGCCACGGCGGTGTCCATTGGCGCTCCCCCTACGCGCTTCGGTCTCAGATCAGAGCCGTCGCTCCTGTAATCGAACAGTTCCAGCGCAAGATCGCTTCCATGGGTACCGTCTCATCTCAACTCATCCCGTATTTCTCGGAGTTTCGGTTTTTTGATTGTTCATCGCTATTTTATTTTTGATCTGATTCGTGTTGATTACTTGCTTGTTTTTGAAAATCTGGATTGGCTTTTGCTATTTTCAACTCTTCCCCAGTTTAGCTGCTTTTGCTCAGTAGTTGCATAATGAACCTGTTTGGCTGCTGAGAAAATGATTCGGAAATCCTAGTAAATTTGATATAATTTTCGTGTTTTTATTAATTTAGAATTAGTCTTATTGAATGAATGGGACACTGGTGTCGTTGGATCAAATTTTGAAATAGAAACAGAAATTCCTGGCCGGTAATTTGATTTAAAATAAAATAAAATTTAGAAAGTAGTTTTAGAGTCTTAATTTGTGTTTTGACTGTTCCTCTATGTGGTTTCAGCTTCTGAAAACCCTTTCAAGGCAAATTTGACAAGTCTTCCCAAGCCCGGAGGTGGCGAGTTTGGAAAATTCTACAGCCTTCCCTCTCTGAACGACCCCAGAATCGGTAATTTTCTAGCACTCAGCTGGCTGATATCCCGTTTCGTTGTTTATTTTAATGGTACGATTAATAACATCCTCTTCTGCTTGTGTGTAACAGATAGGTTACCATACTCCATCAGAATCCTTCTTGAATCTGCTATTCGTAATTGTGACAATTTCCAAGTCAAGAAGGAGGATGTTGAGAAAATTCTTGATTGGGAAAAGACTGCCCCGAAGCAAGTTGAAATTCCTTTCAAGCCTGCTCGTGTACTATTGCAGGTAATTCATGAGTTCATTTACCCTTTTTAGGGTCATGAATTTAGTATACAAAAGTTGTTGGCATCATTGTCTTCCTTTTCCAATGCTTATATGATTTTGTTGCAGGACTTTACGGGAGTTCCAGCTGTGGTCGATCTTGCTTGTATGCGCGATGCTATGAACAAACTTGGGAGCGATTCTGACAAGATCAATCCTTTGGTACGCGGAGTTCTTATTCTGAGATTCACAATCTATGTTATTGAATTTACCATGCCAGGGTCACTCTTTCATTTGTCTTAGTATTCTTTTTTAAATAATATTTTGCATTCACGCAGGTTCCTGTTGATCTTGTTATTGATCATTCAGTTCAAGTCGACGTTGCAGGATCAGCAAATGCCGTGCAGGCCAATATGGACCTTGAATTCCAGAGAAACAGAGAGAGATTTGCTTTTCTTAAATGGGGGTCCAATGCTTTCCACAATATGCTTGTTGTTCCACCTGGTTCTGGCATTGTTCATCAGGTAAAGTAGTATCTTTTTTTATCATTTGAAAACTAGATATACTGAACCATGTAACCCTTGAGTCTCTGTAGAATTATCAATTCTTACGGATTTGGCCTGAAAGTTAATTGACATATTGTAATTTCAGGTTAATCTTGAATATCTTGGACGGGTTGTTTTCAACACTGATGGCTTACTCTACCCTGATAGCGTGGTTGGAACTGATTCCCACACAACCATGATTGATGGGTTAGGAGTTGCTGGCTGGGGAGTTGGAGGTATTGAAGCTGAAGCTACTATGCTTGGCCAGGTAATGTAAAGTCCTGAAAACTATGGAAGGACCAGAGAAGGCATATTTATTTTATAAAGCGATGTTCAATACACCTTAATGCACACTTGCATGCTAAAACTATACATGTTTTACACTCTTACTGCAAATTTTCTTATAATACTTTATTCTTTTAAATTCACAGCCTATGAGCATGGTGTTGCCTGGAGTTGTTGGGTTCAAGTTATCTGGCAAATTAAACAATGGTGTTACTGCTACTGACTTGGTTTTGACTGTCACACAAATACTGAGGAAGCATGGAGTTGTTGGAAAGTTTGTTGAATTCTATGGTAATTTATTTCTTATTAGGTGTACTTTTAAGTAATGATTGCATTTGCTCTGTCGTGGCTATATATGATGTCTCATGTTTGTATGTCTGCAGGGGAAGGTATGGGTGAGCTATCATTAGCTGACAGGGCCACTATTGCCAATATGTCCCCTGAATATGGTGCAACCATGGGGTTCTTCCCTGTAGACCATGTTACTTTACAGTATCTCAAATTGACTGGTAGAAGTGATGAGACTGTGAGTACTTTACCAAGTGATAATAATAATTAGTTTGCTAAGTATTATTCTTTTAAGAGATATGTGACCTCATCATTAAATTATAGGTGTCAATGATTGAAAGTTATCTCCGGGCAAATAAATTGTTTGTTGACTATAATGAGGTAGGAGCCGCCTTCTTATTTTTTCTCCCAATTTTAAAATATCAGAATCAACCTCTCAGGTTTGAGATGCATCTATTGATTAATATTCCTTTATTTCAGCCTCAGTCAGAAAGAGTGTATTCATCATACCTAGAATTGAACCTTTCGGAAGTCGAGCCCTGTATGTCTGGACCTAAGAGGTTTGTATTCTTCAATGTGTATTTTGCACTCGTTTCATAATTTCTTTCCGTATAATCATGTGTAATTGGCCTTCTTGGCAGACCTCATGATCGTGTGCCTTTGAAAGACATGAAAGTTGATTGGCATGCATGTCTTGACAACAAGGTTGGGTTCAAGGTGAGTTGTTAACCTCAGCACTTCCTTAAAATTTTCCCATTGTTGCTTCTTTCTCATTAAAGAAAAAAGAAATTTCCCATTGTTGCTGATCCTAGCATAAATTTTAAACTTTCGATGGACTTGAGCAAAGACAAGTAGTTTTAAGATGCTCTATTTTCATGTAATTTTATTTGATGACACTACAGTTGCAATTCTGTTTATCGTGTGCCATCCTTCCTAATGTTTTACTGAATGCAGGGATTTGCTATACCAAAAGAGGTGCAAGACAAGGTGGCGAAGTTTTCATTCCATGGACAGCCGGCAGAGCTTAAGCATGGTAGTGTTGTGATTGCTGCAATCACAAGCTGCACCAATACATCAAACCCAAGTGTCATGCTTGGAGCTGCCCTTGTTGCAAAAAAGGCTAGTGAACTTGGTCTACAGGTGAGGCAAGCTTACAGTTCTCATAAGAACCTGCTCTTCTTTTCTTTCTTTTGTCTGCAATATGGATTGTGCAAGAGAACTCCTGTTGTCTTTGTAATGATTGAATGTTGATTAACCAATGACTCAGGTTAAGCCATGGGTGAAAACTAGTCTTGCCCCGGGTTCTGGAGTTGTTACAAAATATTTGCTCAAGAGGTAATTTTCTGTTTCTTGAGAATGAAATTTATTAATGTATAGATACAAGTTACTTATTGAATTTTAATCTTGATGCAGTGGATTGCAAAAGTATTTTGATCAACAAGGTTTCCAGATTGTTGGATATGGGTGCACAACATGCATTGGAAATTCAGGGGACTTAGATGAAACTGTTGCTTCTGCTATAGCAGAAAATGGTAATGTTGAAGTATTAATGTTCATTATCTTTGCACAAAGGTTATATGTTTTGTTTAACTCAAGATAATTCACTTGTTACATGAATTATTATTTCCTTGACAAGAACTGATGTCCCATTTTATTAGTTTTTACTTCATCTCTAGCTTGTGCATCTAAAATTCTCTCACCTTCTGTTGCAGACATTGTAGCAGCTGCTGTGCTCTCTGGAAACAGAAATTTTGAGGGTCGTGTTCATCCATTGACAAGAGCTAATTACCTTGCCTCTCCTCCTTTAGTGGTTGCTTATGCCCTTGCTGGAACAGTATGTCGTACTCACTATATAGTGAAATTCTTTATTTATTTTTTCATATAGGCGACTTTAGTTTCTGGTTGAGTGATTCAACTTCATGTATAGACATTAGTTAACTACCTTAGTTTATTCCAAGAACTCCCTTGCTTCATCCCCTTTATTCATTGCTTAAGCCAAACCCATTGTATATAATTTTACTTGCTTGGAAAGATGAATTACTTTTGATGGGGTTGTCTTTTATATTTCTGTTATGTTCCTGTGTGCTCCCTAACGATTACAGTTTTTTCCCATCCGAAGAAGTGATAACACTTTCTTTTTAAATAACTATTTTATACCAAGAAAGTAATGAGAGGGACAATGGATATGGGATCACTTGCTATATAGTTTATATTCCTAGTTATTTATTACTTGTTAAATTTTTGTGCATGCTATTGAGTCAGGAGAATACTCTGGAACAATTTTATTTAAATTTCTATGATATCTGCACCTCTTTATTCTGGTAGCAAATAATTATTAAAATCCCTGTAATTTGGAGCCCACTATCCATCATTATGAACTGTAAAAAATGGTTTGCCGGCATTTATAACACAACAGAGATTTATAAGACATTGCTGGGGTCTTGAAGCATTATGAAATAGTTTTTGCTACCTGTTCTCTTTATCCCATTTCATGAACTACTATAATGAACACCTTAAGTAGCTTGAGTGAGTTTTGATTATATTTTAGCCAGTGTGTACGCAGTCATTTGTTTGCATCCATTTTATGACCCAATCAATCACCCACTTGAGTTAACGCTAAAATTTTATTTTTCAGGTTGACATTGACTTTGATAAGGAGCCAATTGGAACAGGGAAGGATGGTAAGAGCGTTTATTTCAGGGATATCTGGCCATCTACTGAGGAGATTGCGGAGGTGGATATTTATTAGTTTGGATTTCTTGTGATATTTTGCTAATGAAACTTTAGTAGTATATGAAATGAACTCGTGAGTGTGTATACTTTGTAGGTAGTACAATCAAGCGTGTTGCCAGATATGTTCAAGAGCACTTATGAGTCTATTACTAAGGGCAACCCCACGTGGAATGAGCTATCAGTTCCAGATTCCAAACTGTACTCTTGGGACCCTAATTCAACCTACATTCATGACCCCCCATATTTCAAGGGTATGACCATGGATCCTCCTGGCGCAAAGAGAGTGAAGGATGCGTACTGCCTGTTGAATTTTGGTGACAGTATTACAACAGATCACATCTCCCCAGCAGGAAGCATCCACAAGGACAGTCCTGCGGCAAAATACCTTCTTGAGCGTGGGGTGGATCGCAAAGACTTCAACTCTTACGGTAGTCGTCGTGGCAATGATGAAGTCATGGCAAGGGGAACCTTTGCCAATATCCGCATTGTTAACAAGCTTTTGAATGGAGAAGTGGGCCCTAAAACAGTTCACATTCCTACAGGAGAGAAACTCTATGTGTTTGATGCAGCAACAGTGAGTTTACTTTCACCAACTCCTTGCACAAACTTCCATTTTTGTTTTCCTTGTACTCTTTAATGAAGTGCCCCATTTTTCTTTTTTGCTGTAGAAACGCATTATTTGTTACCATGCTTTCAGTATTTTCTACTTCTTGGTGAATTCACTGTCCTTAGTTCAGCAAGAGCGAAAATTCTTGCTTTTGCCTAATGGCGTCTTTTAGTTTTTCTGATAAATTTGTTTACAGTACTGATCATCATGGGAACTGGAGGCACTAGTTGGTCATTTTCTTTAGAGAACTTTATAATCATATAAAACAAAGTATTTTTGAGATGCGACAATATACTTTATAACAATGTTTAAACTCCAGTTTCACTAGACCTTTTAAATCAATCTCTACTTCCATTTCAGAGATACAAGGCTGATGGGCATGACACCATTGTACTGGCTGGAGCTGAGTATGGAAGTGGAAGCTCCAGGGATTGGGCTGCCAAGGGTCCAATGCTATTGGTGAGTTTCTTTATGCAGCCATTTGATTTGAACGAGTTTGTAAGTTTTCATTATGGTTTTTCTCGTCTGGTTGAGTAACTTTTGGTGTGCAACAGGGTGTTAAAGCGGTTATTGCTAAAAGTTTCGAGAGAATCCATCGTAGTAATTTGGTGGGGATGGGTATTGTTCCACTTTGTTTCAAGGCCGGAGAGGATGCTGATACACTAGGACTGACTGGTCATGAACGTTATACCATCGACCTCCCTAGCAGCATTAGTGAGATAAAACCCGGCCAAGATGTGACTGTCACTACAGACAATGGGAAATCTTTCACCTGCACTGTACGCTTTGACACTGAGGTACTTACTACTTTCTTCATCCTTGTATTATATTTACTTTTGTATAATTGCATTTTATGCTAAAAACAAGTGAAGCATATTGTATTTTTTTCGTGTGCAAAAAAATATCGGCTTCTCCATAGATGCAAACTATTTGTTCTGTTCTTGTTGGGCATTCAAAGCCGGTTTTGTCAGCACAAGTTTTTCATTAAAGATCTCTTTGTAGGTTGCTCATAATGTGATTTGGTTGCATTTGCAGGTGGAATTGGCTTATTTCAACCACGGAGGTATTCTTCATTATGTGATCAGGAACCTTAGTAAGCAGTAATTGCATCGCTTCGCCGTTCAGAGGACTTGCTATCCACATCATGCAAGCGTTTTCAATTGTAAAATGTGAGGGAGCAAATAAAGTTCCTAATAATAGGAAAAAGGTCCCTTTTTCGGGGGACAGGTATTTTTTTTGGGATAAATTCGTCATCCTAACACTGCCCAGGCTGTGCAGGCATATTGGTTGGTCGTTGAATAGGGCACAAAATAGTTTCGAGCAATATAATCATTTACTGTTTCCAATTGTTGCATATATGTACCTTGGGGTTTTCAAGGGTACCAAGATTATAGGCAGTGTTATGTCTTTCGAACAGTGATCTAATCAATGTGAGTTTTGTTCATGCATGCTCAATCTCTATCAACAATTTGTGAATCCAATTTGTGCAGTTTCCAATCCTACTGCGCATATGCTAAATTTGATAATTTCACGTTGAATAACAATTTGCAGCCATCTGTTCGCTTCTTTTTACACCCACCGTTAATGAATATAATAGTGAGAAAATAATTACTTGGTTCTAAGAACTTAGAAAAAGAAAAGGAAAATGATTATATCATCTTCTCCATCTCCCCAACCCAATATTTATTTTCTGCTATTCTCGGACTGACATATAAGGATTGACTTGCACTCAATTTCAATATAATTCAAGCCTAAAAGACTCAATTTCAATATAATTCAAGCCTAAAAGGAATGATATTTTGTTTGGTAAAAGAGGATTATTATTTTTTGAGATACGGTGGGGGAGGATGTGGAAATAAGATAGGAATGATGAAAATAGCAGCACTTGAAACTTTACGCGAACATTTTATAATGGTCTTGAACCCATGATTATGGCCAATCTGAACATACTAAAAGGTCCATTCAATCGTCCTCACATCAAATATTTGGCCTAGCACGACATTATCTAATCATTTTAGGCTTGATATGACTCACAATGTGACGTTCAAATAATAACGATAAATGCAAGAAAGAAACATCATCATATGCTCTGTGGCAAATTGACAACTTTCCCAATTAGCGAAACCCAACAGAAATTCAAATACTTGTACATTTAGCTTTGAAAAATTAGGTCATGTTTTCCTCATTATTTCTAATTCAACCAAACTGTATATACATATATACAGAAAGATTTAGTTGAGGGATTTCTCAAATAATCATCTGTGTAGGGTTTACTATGCATTGTATTTCAAGGATCCGACCGAACCGTCTAATTTTTAATTATTCTATCAAAGATATATCTACAAAAAAATTACTTGAATCCAAAATAATTTGACCATTTAATTAAATTGTTGTTATAGTCTTTTCTTGAAGTGTTCATATGTTGAAAAAAAAAATTGTAGGGTACTATACATTATATAAAATTAGGATGATTCTCAAATAAAATTATTTGAAGAATCCCTCAATGGGCTGTAGATGCATATATGTAAATCAAATTCTCTTTAGTCACGAGCTCTCATTAGGAAGGCCCATGGAAAATTGAAATGAAATGCACCACACCCCTTTTAAAAAAGTTCCCAACATCACATACATACTTGCGTTAATATTAACTCAACAATATGGTACAATATTTGGTCATGACATGGTTTTTGATGCCAAATATAATCAACAACTTTCTACTTCTACAATTAATGAAAAAGAGCTAGAGAGGGAAGAGGAAGAGAGAATTATAAAATGATCAATCTTGGTCCTCTGGAATGCTCTCTAAAGTTGGGCTCCAGCCACTGCCTGTGCTTTCATCATTGCTTGTTCCAATCTCAGAAACCCTTGTTCCTCTGTTCCTCACTGCACTCAACAATTGCTCCAAAGAAGAATGGTTTGAATCTTTCTTGTAATCCAGAAGTTGTTTCAACTCCTCCTGAGTCACCACCAGTCTAATTCTCACCACCCCATTTTTAGTAGATTCACCAGAAACAACATTTCCTCTACCGCTATCTTCATCTTCTTGCAAATCAAACCTCACAGACTTCCTCTTTAGCTTCAAATTGGATGGCAATGGCATTGGTGCTGTTTTCTTGGCTTCTGGGGTTTTTGCTTCCTCATGCTTCTCATGATCTTGTGCTGAAACCTTGTTATTACTTCTTCTCAAGCAATTCCCCATTTATGAGGAAAGAAAGAAAAAACAAGAAAAGTTCTTGACACAGAGAGAGAGAGAGAGAGAGAGAGAGAGAGAGAGAGAGGGGTTACAACTTACGAAGTGAAGCATAACTATATTATATAGAGAGAGAAAGTTTGGGGCAGAGAAAGCACATGACGCAGCGTTTGTTGCGCCGGGTACTTCAGAGGACAAAGAGGACTTAACAATTTAATTATTGCTTGAGACCAAATAGACCAAATAAATTAAGCATTCTCATATTACCAGTATCTCTTTGTTTTATGTGATTTTATGTTATGTTAGCGTAACCGTTTGTTAAGCTTCATTTAATTTAATTTAATTTAATTTTTAAATATTTGTCAACCAGAACCACAGTAGTAATTAATTAATGGGTTTATATCCAAAGCCATGAGTATCGGCTTTGATACTTCTATTAGATTAAGTTTCCTTCCAATATCAGTCCAAGATATAACTTATCTTAAATTAAGTTCCTCTAATCACTGCTAAACATAAGGCAAAGCCACTGTAGATGACACCAGATGATGTTTTAATTAAAAATTTCTTGTTAATGGTAATGAGTAGGCTCTGTTTCTACATATTTGTTGGATTCTATGCAAATATGCATACCTCCAAGAGAGCATCCATCAGAAGTAAAAGTATGCAACAAAATTAAGTTGGTGTACATTCCAGCTCAGACCATTGCTGTTTTATTCCTAATCCCATTATCTAGCTAGCTACTCCGATGACGATGATCTGATCTGATTATATCTGATTATGATTATGATCATGATCCATCGTACGAACCGATCGTATCGAATTCGGACACGTAAGATGTACACATGCAAATTAATTGGAAGAGAGACCAAAATAAATGCTTTGATAGGTATACATCTTCACCAGCAAATTTTGCTTCCACCAACTTTTTAACTACTTTTGATTACAAAATTAAGCATATATAATAATAATATAGCAACAAGTTCATCTAACGAATTAAAGTGTCGTCCAACACTAGTTTTTATAATTGGATTTGATGATGAACTGGCTTTTTCTTTTGCTTATAGCTGTTATAATGATGACGCACAGAGAACAGACTAAACCAGCAGGTAAAATACAATACAAGTCAATTAATAACATATGTCCGGGAAATGTTGTATCGAGAGACTGTGAATCTAGACCATTAATCAACGTAATGACATGCCATATTGAAAAATCTGGATCAATAGTCGTCTGAATGTGCATAATTCAAATTTACACTCTAACATGGAATATTTGTGTAATAATTTATAAGTATGACGAGAGAACTTTACTCAAGTTAGATGCGTACGTAAGTTAATAGCTTAGCTAGCAAAGGGTGGTGGGGGGTGGGGTTGGCTGCATGTGATCGTGAGATGCTTTGCATGGGATGGGAGAGAGGTGGGGTTCATTGCATATCATGTGCATTTGCATTACGTATATACCATGATTTCAGGGTCGTTGAAATTTAAACTTGAAATAATAATAGATATGAGGAGGAGGGAGGGGTCTTACTCTTACGCGTTAAAAGCTGAGTGGCTTTATTCTTTAGAAGCATCCTTTCACATGGCTGTCAGGTCTTAGTTTTCAAATTGTATTCATACTTATATCAATAATAATGGGAGACAACCACCGTTCACAAAGGCATCATCAGAGCCCCATTTTAAAGATTATGGCTTTCTTTGACTATGTGACACTGACTTCTACTTCACATTTTATCCCAAAATTCTACCACCCAAAAATAAGGAAATATAGAAAAGGATTGGAAAGAAGAAAGATAGGTTTGGCTAATGCCGTGTGTCTGCGTTCATGCATCCGAGTTTGAGTGGTTTAGAATATCGCTTTGTAAAAACTGAAAAATTAAAAAAAAAAAAAAGTTGGTTTATTTATTTATTAACGGCTACTTTTACTTTATTTATTTTGGTCAAAAGGGCTTACTTTAAATTAAACACATTTTAGTAAGGAACTTTGGTTTGGGGTGACTATTGATGAAACCAACATCAAAAGAAAAGGCTCTAAATTGCTTGCATCCGACGGTTCTCTCCTTCTTTTCTGACCGGCATCGGACGGGTCAAAAGCCGCCATGCCGCACTAAAACGCAACAACTTGAAATAAACAAGCAGCCGCTCACGTGCCCGCTCTAAAGGCTTGGGTCTTCAGCACGTGATCATCTCTCACATCTACCGTAACACGTGCTTCCCTGTATCATACGTGTGAACTGTTCAAGTGCAATAGCGGGAGAAGGGGAGTAGAGAGAGAGAGAGAGAGAGAGAGAGAGACCGAGGGGGGCTGCAGCCGCTGAACTTCACTTCACATTGCCTTTCATCTCTCTCTGCTCTCTGCCATTCCCATTTTCGTTTGGACTCTAAATTCTCTGAATGTTCTTATCAGATGCTAAACTTTGAAATTTTACAGTGTTTGCCTTCCATTTCACATTGTTCATTTGAGCACATTCTACTCGGTAGGCACTGAACGATTGCAAAAATGAGACAAAGGGTTTCTTTCAGTCTAACCCTTCCACTTACTCTACTTTTGCTTCTCTGTAAGTGTTTTAGTTTATCTTTGTCCTTCTCTTCATTTTGTCTCTTGGCCTTGCTAAATTTTTTGTTTTTTTTGTTTTTTTTTTGTGGTGATTTCATTGAAGTTATCAGCTGGGTTTTGGTTTAATTGCTTAATTTTGCATTATTACTTATATAAATTTTGAAAGTTTCATACCTTCCTGTTATTGCTTCTCTGTCAGCATTGGTATTTGGTACTTGCCATTTTGAAAATTTTACTGCGTATATCTACAAAGCAATTGGCATTCCCTTTTCATTTTTGTTTGTTTTCTTTCATTTACATTCTGAACATTTTTAGTTGGGTCATTGTGTATAAGCTGTATGTTGGGAATGAAGTTTATGGTGTTGATGGGTACATTTTCATATCTTGGTTTCTTGTAGTTTTTGGATTCGGAATTTGGCATGAAAATATCATTTACTTGAAGGATTGCTCAAGTACAAGGCTGTCTTGTTTGCTCTATGACTAAGTTGGTGTTGTCTACTTAGTATGGTTTTGGTTCTGTTTACCCATGTGCAGGTGTATATGAGTCCCGTGGCGGTTCAGTTAGGAATACGGAAGCAATAGCTCCTGATATCTCATCCACTGTAAACCCTCAGCCTTTCCTTCCTTTACTAGCCCCTTCACCATTGACGGCATTCACAAATTACAGCATCCCGAAATTATCAGGTATGTGAGGTACCAGGGCATGTCATATTACTACATTTTAGTGTCACAAATACTTGTTGTGCATTACCTTGTGATAACTTATCATAAAAGATAGTCTGGGGAGTTTATGCATCAATTAGAGGTTGAAACTTGAAAGCATGAGATATTGGCCAATTTCTGAGTGTAAAATCTTCTAGTAATCCTAACAGGTTGCACAATTTGAACAGTTCACTTCGTGCAGAAATTTATCATCATGGGCGAGGAGGAAAATAAATGGATAAAGTTCCACTTAACATGCTTTCAAAGCCTTTCATGGAAATGCTTAACAACTGGACACTTTATGTCATGGAAAATGCGGAGAACAGAATCTAGATTGATTGGTCTTTGTATATTTCAGGACTTTGTACATTAAATTTTTCAGCGGCTGGAAATATGATGAGCGTAACGGCAACTGACTGCTGGGCTTCCTTTGCACCCTTGTTGGCGGATGTGGTTTGTTGTCCTCAATTTGATGCCACCTTAGCGACTCTTATAGGGCAATCCAGTAAATACTCTAGGATGCTCGCTTTGAATGTGACCCATGCTAAGCACTGCCTCTCAGATGTTGAGAAGATCCTAGAGGGTCAAGGAGCAAACGAGAATATTCAAAAGATATGCTCAATTGAACCAGAAACCCTCACTGGAGCTTCTTGTCCTGTTACAGAGGTTGATACATTTGAGAGCACTGTGGATTCTTCAAAACTACTTGGCGCTTGCAGAAAAGTTGATCTTGTCAATGAGTGTTGTGACCAAGTTTGTGAGAATGCCATATTAGATGCTGCTAGAACAATTGCCGCGATTGGTATGCCAAATTCGAAAGGGGTCAATCTATTGCCTGAACACTCAACTAGGATTGATGATTGTAAGAATATTGTCCTGCGATGGCTGGCCAGTAACCTTGATCCTTCTTCTGCGAATAAGGTTCTTAGAGGACTTTCAAATTGCAAAGTAAATAAAGGTCAGCACAAAAATAGGAAAAGGAAAGAAAAATAAGTCTCTTGTACTTCATTGAGTATTTGAAAGAATATGACAACCACTATGAAATTCTTACTTACATCCAGTAGACATTTCATTCCATTGTAAGGTTAAGGACCGATTTATCCGGAATTATCAATCTGATGTTGACTTATAGATGTTCAATGTTGTTTTCTCATATGGTTCAGTTTGTCCTCTGGTTTTCCCGAACATGACAACTGTTGTGAAAGAATGTGCAAATGGTGGTAATCAGACAGCATGCTGCAAAGCAATGGATAGTTATGTTTCTCAGTTGCAACAACAGAGTTTCATTACAAACTTGCAGGCCTTGAATTGTGCAGCATCACTTGGAGTGAAGTTGCAGAAAGCTAATGTATCCGACAATGTTTATAATCTTTGTCATATAAATCTCAAAGACTTCTCTCTTCAAGGTCAGTGTTGTTATATCTGGTTAAATAAATGACTGCTATAAGTCTATAATCCTATTCGATTTTTTCTTTTTCAAGAAAATTGAGTACTGATTAGTGTATTCTTTTTTGATTTATTATCCGTGGTGGTGGATTTTAATCATTGGCGGCATCAGTTGGATCACAAGGTAATGCATATACTTAAACAGACAATTAGCCACTTTCAATTGTTTTTACTATGATTTTCACTTCACTTCAACTCCGTTGATTGATAATTTTCAGTTTTACCATAATTTTCTCCCTTATTTATTGGATAGACTTTAATTATTAAATTAGTTGCCATCTCCTTTAATTAGTTCCCCTGTTCTCCTACCATATGACGATAAATGATGGCTTTTTGAATTTTCTGCATAGAACTTTAGGACTTAACAAAAGGGAAGGTATATCAGGCTAACTGTATTCAGTTTCTACTGTCATCAAGGCTTTTTATTCTGTTGTTATTAATTAAAACAAGGATTTGGGTGTTTAATCCTCAATGAATCTGCTAATTGATTCTCTACCAACAGATTTATTTCTTGAAAATATTATTACTCTTAGAGTTTTGCATTTATAGATTCCCTTAAGAAATCCTTTTCTTTTGTTCTTTCTATTCTTTCCGCTCTGTTCTTTGATCTAAATTTTTGTCTATTACATTCATATATGATTAGAATATGGCTGCCTTCTGCCAAGCTTGCCTTCAGATGCAACTTATGATATAACTTCGGGAATCAGCTTCATTTGTGATCTTAATGACAACATTGCGGCTCCATGGCCCTCTTCCTCTTCTGAACATCCATCATCTTGCAAGAAAAGTAAGCTAGACCTGTTAAACTTTACTTTGTCCATTGAATTTTGTTTCCTAGAATCCTTAACGTTTATTTTCCAGCTACGTTTTTTATGGTGTTTTTTTTACGGGATTACAGCTACCAAACTTCCAACAGTACCCAAAGCAACATCTGCACAAAGTGGTAAGCAACTTTGATCTACTTTGCTATGTTCAAATGACCCAAATTTCTCTTTTTGTGAGATAGAACACACATCTTCCTCCAAATCTTGAATTAGATCCCTTGTAAAGAGAACAACATTTCAACTTTCTTGAATTCTTTTGGGCTGCATTTATTTGGAAAATCGAATGATGTGAAACATGTTTAACTTCCTAGTTCATTTCATACTGAAGACGATCATGCTAACTGCATTTGGTATTGATAACATATGTATACAATTGAACCAAGTTCATAATGATACATGACTGAGAAACTTAGTCACACAGGCGATTAACAGTAACATTTCGAGGGTATGAAAAGGAACGATGATGCAAAAAGTTGATAGACCTCTGGACCCAGAAAAAGAAGAAACCACCTAGTTTTGTGTTGCTTTTTTCTTTTGGTACCAAACTTGTCCTCTCAAACATGGGGAAGTTTTTTGTTTTTTTGGTTTCTTTTTAGTAGCTTAGCTTGCTTGCAAGACGTCCTCCAGTCACAGTACTTGTTGATGCATTGCAGGTCTTATCAATGAGGATTTGATCTTCCTTTCTTTCTTTTCCTCCTTACTGGTTCTGAAGGTGCTCCTTTGAAGTTGGCAGCAGAGGTTCTTTCTTTGTTTTTTAGTCATGTGACAACAGCTTTTACATACCTTTTTATATGAGCCCGTTGTAAATCTGAGATTGGGAAAGGACTTGACATTTACAAGTCCAACATGTGTCTATGTTTCATGATATAGCTATTTTTCTGTGAGGTTTTTGTCCTGTTGTTGTTTTCATACAAAAGAACAGTAACAGCTGTGATTTTATGTGTTGAGGCCCAAAAAATCAAGGGTTGGGCCCAAATAAATTCCCGGCCCAGTGCGACACCTTATTAAGAAGAAACCTGATTCGGAGCATGCGGAATTCGTCATGCATGCTTTCACGAGCCACGATCACGTGCCATGCCAAATAAATATGCAATTTATCACGCTAGGAATTAAAATGAGCCTATAAAAGGCATTGCCTCTACAAGCTCATGCTAATTATTTTGTCAAGCATTATGTCTCCTTTCAAAGACGACAAAATTCAAGCACGCCAAGCGACTTGCCATGCCAAGCAGGAAATCATTATTTCACACATAGCCACGCTACAAGCTTAAGTGGGCCCAAGCAACGCAAATGCCCGGGCTTGCGTGAGTGGGTTGTGGTATGGATGGTAACGAGCTTTTATGAGGCCCATTGATGAGCCAAGAAATGGAAGTTTTGGGCTGCTTGGGAGCCCCAAAACTCAAGCCCATTTCTTGAGCCCAAACACATGGGTTAGCATGAGAGGGGAGAGAATATGACCCAAAGCCTTAGGAAGAATACAATGGTCTGCTTAGAAAACCCTGTGTTAATTAGAATGCCCAAAATACTTTGTTAAAAACGCAACAGGCAAACTGCTTCCGGCAGCTTGACGAAAACCTATCAAACGATAGAAGTAACAAGCTAAAGACCCAACACTGTACATACAAGCCCAGCCCAGTACCTTATAAAATATCTAGCATTGTCAAAAGTCTGAGAACCAAGTCAAATAGAAAGCCACTGCAAAAACCAATGGAGATTCATAGGAATACCCATCGGACAAAGAACTTCCTCCATCCCTCTTTTCCTCTGCAAGCTCCATCTTGAAAACCCACAAGGAAAGCAGGTGGCGCCTCACCCTTATGGGGGAGGTCCAGCTGCGTCAAAACCTTGGAACCACAAAGGGCTCCTTACCCATGCGCCTTGAATAGGAAAATTGCATCAAATAGGATCAAGTGGGAAGGAGCAACGAAAAGGGAGAAGAAGGTTAGATGAAATTAGGGATTCTTTGTGCCTATAAAAGGGAGCTTCTTCTACCCATCAAAACCAACCCACATATGGAGGGCAAGCTTCCTCTCTCACCTACAAAACCCTGCAATTTCGTGCCCTATTCCTCCATTTCCTCCCATTTTCGCTCCTGTTAGACTGTTCCAAAATTTGACAGAGCTCTCGTCGAGCTGCCGGAAACTGCTCAACACACCCACCTTTCTTCCTCTTTCTCTCTTTCTTCCTCAGAGCTTGACCAAGCTTTGTCAAGCAACCTGAAATTTAGTCAAGCCATCTAATCCTCTTCCTCCGTGGTCTTCTTCTTTTCCTGAGATAAAAAACCTTCCTAATCTTCCTCTGCCCCAGTCTTAATTTCTGTCCTCTGTAAGAAACTCATGCTTTTCTCTCTCTCAAATTGCTAAACTTGTGAAAGCTTAGCTCCCATGCCACAAGCTCCTCATGCCAAGCCATTCCATTGCTAATTTGTCACACTTATTTGGTTCATTGGTGAAGGGAACCAAGGTGTTTTCAAAGGGTTTTCACAAACCCTTTCAAAACTCTCTCGGAGCCTGGTCTTCGAACTCAGAAACAGGGGCAACCTCCTCAGCTCATCCTTTACAGCAGCCTAAGCCCATTCATCTGGCTGCTGGAAGAAAAAGACCCCAACATAAATGCCGACTTCACTGGGGACTAGGCTGCCATCTTCACCAATGCCTCCAAAGAAGAAGACCAGAAGCAATAAAACAGAGAAAATAAAGAGATAGAACATTCTCTCTTTCTTTGTTTATTTTTTCCTTTTGTTGACTAATATAGATTACTCACAAGCTCCATTTGTTTGTGTGTTAGATCTCCATTCTCAAGCAAAACAAGATCTTGCAAGAAGGCCCTGGAAGCTTTGGCAAATCCATTATTCATGCCATTAAGCAAGCTACACATGCAAACCCCAAAATACTTGGGGGCTTCATGCCAAGCAAATTTTTTCAAAAAAAAGAAAGAGCCAAACACATGCCAAGCATCTGATAAAGAGAAGCCATCTTCTCTGGCCAACAGAGGAGACTTGGCTAACTCTAGAACAATATAGCCATATCTTGCCGAAAACTACGCATGCTCTTCAACTTAAAATTGAACAAGTTCTCTTTGGGAACACTGCTTGCATCGTCTCCGTCTCTTGCACTGCCCGCAGAATGCTCAACTCTCTATGCCAATGTTGGTTCCACAATCCACATGCTCTCTGTTGGAGGCCAACAAAAAAAAAAAAAACATAAGAAAATTCATTTTTTCCTACCGTTTTAGATTTCACAATAAAATATATATTATCATGCCATATGCCATTACATTTATACTTGCAAAAATAGCACGAGCATGTCATCTATTCACATGTAAACATGTACTGATAAATTTCCTTCCTTATATATATATCGTGTTTTAGGCCGATACCAACATAGTGAAGTTGGACTATTCAGCTTCCTTTATTTCTTGTCTTTCACTTTGATAGGAATACAAATGCTAGGCATTTACACACTACCAAAAACACAAACATCGCCACATGCTTTAATTATTGCCAAAGCATCCCATGCTTGCATATTACTGAAAGCTACCTATGTTGGTTTTAATATTGATATGTGATTCATTCGTTATGTAATGATGTTGGATGGCATCCATTAATTAATTCATTTGCAAGCTGCAACACATGTATTATTTTAACCACCATCTGCTTTGGTCACGCAGAAATTATAAATCTGTCAAGCACTTTGTTCTACCAAGACGATGAGTACATTCCTCTACCCCTCAAGCCTCAAGGAGCATGGGACTTATGTACCTGTACCATCAGACAAATCTCTCTGTAATGCTAAACTTGTGGGCACTTAGCTCCCACACCACAAGTCAAGCTATGATTCCCCATGCCAAGCTCATATAGTTTATGTATCAACTCATGCATCCATGTCATAGAAATTCAAAAATTGCTGGAAGAGCCGCCGGAAGAGTGGCTGGAGGAAGAATAGAGCCAAGCGTGTAGTAGAAATCCAAACACCATCGCTAGAAGAGCTACTGCCAGAAGAACACCAAACTTAGATGAGGATGACAAATCATCTAGTTACTACAATTCATGCAAAAGAAAAGACAGAGAGACATACCCGCCACTGCCGTGCAAAGATGAAGAATTCCATGCCATTCTTGATACAATGTTTGTTCATAGTGCAATCAAACCCCTCAAGCCCTACAAGGTCCCTACCATGGAGGAAATGGGCGATCTGAGGTACTGCCGTTATCATCAGTTTGTGGGTTACCCAACAACTGCTTGTCAAACTTTGAGGAAGATCTTGCATGCCAAGATACATGACAGAACTCTTGAGCTACCCTTTAAGAGGCAAGCTGTTGACGAAGACCCCTTGCCAAAACGAAGGGGAAAGGAGATGGCTGCTGTCATTACATGCTTTGATGACTTGCTCGACGATGACGTATTGTCCCACCCGTTGAATGATCGGTTCATAATTGTATATCATTTTGTACCCTTCTAGCTTATGATTTGGCTATGTGTTTGAGTTAAACTTGTGCTTTTAATCCGTTTTGTGTTTATCTTTCAGTTAATTGACATTTAGGTAACAATGATGACTTTGGATAGGAAATGATGCAATCCATGCATGTTAAGGCTTGATTTGGGTGAATGGAAGAAGGGCTTAAAGACAAGCACATTTTGGCTACAACTCCTTTCCAGCCCAATTTCGTAGGTCAGTTTCTTGGCCTTGGATCAGCATGCTATGGGGCTTGGATGAGGTGAAGATCTTCATGAAACTTGTTCCAATGGGTGTCTAGTACAACATATCCAAATTTCAGCCCAATTGGACATTTGTGGAGTGCTCAGCCCGCCCAACACTCAACCCTGCTCAGGAGGATTTGCAGCTGCCAGCTTTGTCATGTGCCTCCATGTGCCTCACCCATGCTGCAACTGACTTTGGATCCAACATAATGAGTGAAGTGGGGAGGCATTCCAGTCTCTGTTCGGCATGCATGTAAAGCATAAATGAAATGAAGTCAATTCCAGTCTCTGTTCGGCAGCCAAATTGCAAGGCCCAAAACGCATACTTCTACTGCTCCGATGGGAATACTTTCTTCATAGAAGTTCTTCCAATGGGTGTCTACTATAACATATCCAAATCTGAGCGCCATTGGATAAGTTTTGAAACCTCTGGCCTTCCTACACCAAGACTGGTTCAGAAAACTCGTTTTTCAGCAACCAAAAGGCAACCACATGGGTTGGCA